TTTTTATTTATCATAGAGATGTATGACTTTTTTTAAAAGAAAATATTAACATTTCACATAACATCTGTTTGTTGCAGAAACCTGTGAGCATATGGAAAATTTCAGTGAAGAATTAAAAGTAAGCCACAATACATGAACCAAATGTTTCCAAATATGTGAGGGGTTTTAATATGTATTTTGGCAGAAATTTGTCTATACCATTAATTTACATGACTAGTACAATATTGTTTAATAATATTGTTATTGCAAGATTATACATTTTAACGCACATTATCACTGTTGTCACATTTACTGTTTTGGAAATTGATTTTTTATTGTTTCTGTGTTCCCTTACTTTATGTTTTATGTGTCATTCTTATTTTTTCTTTTTTAAAATAATATCATTGTATTACATTATATATTTTTTTTAAATATTTTTTATTTATTTCTAGGAGAGAGAGAGACAGCGTGAGCAGGGGAGGGTCAGAGAGACAGGGAGTCACAGACTGAAACAGGCTCCAGGCTCTGAGCTGGCAGTCAGCACAGAGCCCGACGCGGGGCTCGAACCCACGAACCGCGAGATCATGACCTAAGCGAAAGTCGGACGCTTAACCGACTAAGCCACCCAGGCGCCCCTCATTGTATTACATTATAGAGAATATATGACTTAATTTTTTAAATCCATTGTACTTTCGTATATTTTTAATTTTAGAGAGTTCTACCATCTGTATTTTATGTCATACACAATATCTCTGATTTTTCTTTTTTACAAATAATTTATTGACAAGTTGGTTTCCATATAACACCTAGTGCTCATCCCCACAAGTGCTCTCCTCCATGTTCATCACTTCCCTTCCCCTCCCCCCCATCAGTCCTCTGTTTATTCTCATTTCCAAATAAAAAAGTTGCTATAAGGTGCCTTCTGGCTAAAATCGAGAACTCTCACATCTATTGCTAGCCAGCCAGGATGTGGTACTATAAGGAATCTCATTCCTTGGTGATGGCAATGCATAGTGTTACAGCTGTTCTGAAAGGAATCATGGTGATTTCTTACAAAGCTAAATATGCTGTTATCTCACAATCCTGCAATCACACTCCTAGATGTTTAATCAAATGATTGAAAACATATGTCCCTATAAAAACTGGCACAGGAATGTTTATATCAGCTGTGTTCACAATTGAAAACTTGGAAGCAACCAAGACATCCTTCGTTAGGTGAATGGATGCACTGTGGAGCAAGTATACAATGAAGTGTAATTCAGCAACTTTTTAAAAAACTATTAATATTTTAAAACACATAGTGAAACTGTAAATGCATATTGCTAAGTGAAAGAATTCTCTTAGACTAAAGAGCTGTTACTAGAGGGTTTCAATTCTACAATATCCTGAAAAGACCAAATAGAGATCTCTATAATAGCAACTGTGAACCTTAATCTAAATTATGGACATCAGTAAATAATAATGTATCAATGTTGGCTCATCAATGGCAACAAATGTACCACACGAACGACACCTGTGAATAGGGGAAACTTTATGTGGAGCAGGAGGGAAGATGCAGATGAGGAACTTTGTATTTTCTACCAAATTTTTCTGTAAACCTAAAACTACTCTTTGAAAGGAAAGTATTAAAAAATGTGACTTTTAAATGAGAGGATAGATATGTTTTCTTTTTTATTCCACAGGTGTCTGAGTTTTAGTGTATTCTTTATTGTACATCTATTTAGTTTATAGTAAAAAGTAGGAGTATGTAAAAGAAATACCTGTGCCTATTATCAAATTTCTAAAGATGAGGCTTTGATTCTATAAGACTTAGGTACAGAAGCTGGCTATTTTCTAATTTTTTTTTTAACTTCGAGATAGAGAGGGAGAAAGAGAGAGAGAGAGAGCAGGAACAGGGAAGAGCAGAGCGAGAGGGAGAGAAAATTGGAGCAGCCTCCATGTTCAGTGTGTAGCCCCATACAGGGTCCATCTTATGATCCTGAGATCCCGACCTGAGATGAAACCAAGAGTTGAATGCTCACCCAGCCAGACCCCCAGAAACTTGCTATAGGGTGTTAAGAGATAAACTGAGTGATAAGATAATTTCCAAGGGTTTGTTTGAGACCATGCAAATCTAGCAGTGCCAACCGAAAATGATGAAGAGTTCTCTGAAAGGAGCTGGAGAAAGGCTTTGATGGAGCAGATGCAGAAGCAAAACATGGAAATTACCTGATTCGCTATATCTTATTCAGTCTGGCTTGGAAAAGGCCCATGGGCTACTGGTGAATTTTGCTGGGATACAAGTGCACATACAGGAATTGTCTCTAGGTTAGATTTCAGTCTGCTTATGTAAGTTACCAAGATATTAGAGCCATCTCTGTCTAATGGCCTCCTCGTAAAATTACTCCAATAATTCTCCCATTTTGGTCATCCTTTCACACATGAGAGATGGACCAACAAATTGGCATTAGTGTCTCTCTCAGTTACATCAGTGTTAGGTTGTTCTTGTTTCTCTGTGAAACTCATAGTTTATGAGATCAGGTTCCTGGAAGGTGTTTGCGCCTCACTGTTCATGTCATTTCTTCTCCAAGTGGAGTGAGACCATCTGATGTACGTACTATAAACATGGGTTTAAGACATGTGAGAGAACACAGCTTCATGAAGAATATCAGGAGAATGCCAAGGGACTGAAGTATGTCTCTTAGTTGGAACCCCCATGTACCAAGCCAGTTAGTGTCAATGGGTTTTAGCCAAGAAGCTTGTTTGTTATTTTGCTGAATTTGAGTTTCTGTAATATTAGGTGTTGATCCAGGAGCAGCAGGAGGTATTTCTATGGCACAGGCCCCTTCTTCAACCAACAAGAAATCTAAAGTAATTTTATTACCCAAAACCACCTTGTCAGCTCTAAAGGATCCTTATGGCTAAGTGGTATATTTTGGGGTGATATATTCTATTTTCCTTCAATGTCATCTTGCTTTGGTTTGTGCTTTTCTGATATTTTTATCATCAGGCTATTGAAATTTTGAGAAAAAAAATGGTTGAATTTATATTTTCTAGCATTTTTAATACTTAATTACTCTCCTTGCAGTTTTCCTTTGATTCTTATAATAGTAACTCAGTGTGCTAAATATTGCCATCAGTATCTTCATGAACAGAATTAGGTAGGTTAGATAAGCAAGGTATCAGTGAATACAGAGTTAAAAAATGTAGAGTAAGTTGAACCCCAAATTGACATCATTGCAACTGCCCTTATTTGCCACTCTACCAAACTGTCAGGATAATCAATCTGTATGGTTTCCAGTAGGCTCTGGTAACCTATAATAGTTTCAGGCCCACTGTGCCTCAAACATTTTTTCAATGTTTTCAACCTCTCACTTTTTACCTCTGTTTTCTACTCAGGGCTACATATCCGATATAAGAGTGTTTCAGGAATAAGTCAGAACATTCTCCTGGTAATGAAACAGGCATCTAAGACCATGTTAATAAGATGGGTAATATTGATCTGCAATGTCCAATCCTATTTTTTATTAAACCGGGAGTGGGTGTTACTGATACATAAATCCTGTACAGTATATGTATCCTATCTTCCACTCCCCCCTGCTCCCCATCATCAATCTCATTCATTATCTGAGGCCAAACCATAGGCTTTGCATTCATTCTACCAAAGATCCAGATATATCATTGGCTTGGAGACTCAAGAACCAAAACCAGATCCTCTAACCATTGCTAAGTGGAAATCCCAATCTCCCAATGAACTCTACTCTACTCTAGGGTTTTCCATAGGGAGACTGGATCACAGCAACTGGACTGCTTGCAGATGCTACAGGTGAGTCATTGTCCCAATGAACCTAGATATTTATGATTACTTACAGAACTTATCACAGACATTGAACATTCACACACTTCAGGAAGAAAGTATCATAAATATTCCTTAGTCTTTGTGAAGAACTGGCTTGGACACCAAAACTTCTACTCAGACCCATCAAACGTTTATTGTGTTCAAAAAATCACAATCACAGTTAGAAGAAGCCCAAGCAATAAGTGTAGAAGAGATGTCTGTTGAACATTCAAATGGTTCCATAGCAGAGAAAGGGTCCTCTGGGATCTATTTCTGAGTTATCACATGGTGATGATGAAACAATGGTAGAAAATGGGGAAAAATAGATCCAAGAAGGACAATACACAGGGAATAACTAGATGTCAGGGTCTGGACAGATCAGGAAGGCATCATTATTGTCAGAATAACCAAAGGGCTGGATAATGCTGAAGAATAGTTGTCTTCAGTGAGATGAACAATTGGAGTACTATAGGGCTTACAAGCCTTTAAATCACAAATTTCTTCATTGATCTTCTCTTTAGGAAATGCGTTTACCTGTAGGAAGACACACATGGTTATAAAGATTTATTGAATATTTTAAGCTCTTTTATAGAATCTTTCTCTTCTCCCTTAATCCTTCGAATTGGAAAAGACTCTTCATATTCATCTAACATCCATCCAGTAAATACAACCTTTCAAAAGTGAACCGCATCTCCTACACTCCGAGTGAGCATGAATGTGCAGAGCACTGGCTTACCTTCTCTTGGAAGTTTCAACATCACTTATCCGATTAGAGAAACAAGAATAGGTATTGACCTTCAAGAAAATTTCATTTCATGCACCGAATCTAGACCAAACTCTAGAAACCCTTCTTAACTGAAGGACTGCCTCAGGAAATATAAATCAGGTAGTGACCAAATGTTTCCTAGATCACTTTGATTCAATAGTCTGATGTCAAATAATGCTCTTAGGTAGCAGAGATAAATGCGAAGACTGAATTGTGGTCTAGGTACACATGTACAGAAAGGAATACGGGACCTTGAAGTTTTGGGACACTCGATGATGCCAGTGTCTGATTCTATTTTAGCAAACATAAATCAAGAGCCATGACTTTCCCATCACTTTCTTTAAAAGCATCACCATCCTTTTTCCCAACGCTGTTTCCACCCTTAGAAAACTCCATATATGTCTTCCTCTGACCACATTAACCCCACCTCTGTATGCCTCACAGAGGCCCTCGGCATTCACCAGCATTGACTTTGTGCATGCCCTTGATGATGAAGATGGTCCTAACAATGATGTCCACCAGACCCACAACCAGGCCCAGGTCACACACCACATTCTCTGTTGTCTCTGGGTGGTGGGTTGGGGCATCAAACTCTGGGGAAATTAAAACAGAGTAAGTACAGAAGTAATAATCATGGTCTGGAGTAGCACTTAGAAACAAATGCAGGTATTTAGCCAATGAATATTTATTAAACACACGAATAAGAAGACAACAGGACATATGAAGGGAAAGCAGATTAACAAGAGTGTGTGTGGTGGTGGGGAGGGGAATAATGGGAGAAGGCAAGCAATAGGAATTGTATCAATTGTTATGGATGAGTTAGGATACTCTTGGTCCCAAAGCACCAGATAAAGCATCATGGAAAGAAACCATAGAAGAAAGGAGAGTAAAGGATGGTCCGTACCCCAGTGCTTGAGAAGAAGCTCATCCAAACCCCAGTGTTCCACTTTGCAGTCATAGACATCCTCAACTGAGGGCAGGAAAGGGAGATAGGGGAACTTGCAGAAAAGGTGGTCTTCTCTGGGTAGGAAGATGGTCTCTGACACTCCTGTGGTGACAGGGTTTCCATTTCGAAGCCATGTGACATTCATCACTGGTGGGGAGAACTTGTCTTTGAAACATATGAGAATGTTGGGCTCTCCCCGTTCCACAGGGCTGTTTGAAAGCACAGTCACCTAGGGAGGCACTGGGGACACATGACAGAAATTAGGCTTCGCTGCTAATTCCACCCACTGAAGTTGAAAAAGCAATTGAAAATGTGCCCTAAGAATCTATGGCACAGTCTCAGATACCTATCTCTGATACTCTCCTCCATGAACTGGAACCAATGTTATAGTATAAGATATTTTAGGTACTGAGGGTAATTATTCCTGTCTCTCCTGGCATAGATTTGGGGCTATAACTCAGTATAAGACTCCATTTATGGCTATTTTCTTCTTGGGTGCTTTGACAGGGGTCAGTAGAGCATAAGACTGTGGTAGTAGTGACAGGACTAAAAGAGTCTGGGTTTAAAATTCAAATCACTTAAGCTACAGCCAATCAGGAAGACCATTTGACGTTACACATCTGATACTAAGGAAAGGGCTCTTGTAAATCTTTCAGGAAAGGAACTACTTCATTTATTAGATAAAGAAATAAAGTTCTTAAAGAAACACACAACCAAATAACAACACAAAAATCAGGGTTTTGAGAATGTCGGGAAGTTACTCACAGACTCTTCTTCCCAGGCCAAATGCAAGAAAGAGATGTGCTTGAAGGTTAATAGTGAGAGGAGAATCACTGGAAACACATCAAATGAGAGCTCATGACAGATCATTCCTCTGTGCTGTGACAGCTGGGGACCCTAAATAAGGGCTAATAAATCATCTTCAGAGTTGGTAAATTGGAATGCCATGGATAATGCCTGCTTTCGGCAGTATTGTGTGACAGAGCTTCACTTAAGAAACTTATTGCTTTAGGTTTCTCCTCCATGTCCTACTCTCCCAGATGGACAACTCAGTCCAAGAGCTGGGAATCCCTGGCACTGTACCATATTTAGAGGACATCAGAGGTGAAAGTTTCAACTCTCCCCTAACTATAGATGGATGGTAGAGGTGTCATAGGTAGTGGTTACTTGAAACCATGGACTGTAATCCTTACCATTTTAAATATGACTATAGATTGGACTAGACTGGGGCAGAGGGGCACTCACCACATTTGAACTCAGGTTGATGAACAGAGTGGAGCAAATTGGCCAGAGCCTATTTTACTGGCAGCAATGGAAATAATAAACTACAGGAAAGTTTTACCATGATTTTCCTCATGTTGTAACACAATGAATGCTGTCCTCATGACATAAATTGTTGAAAGTCTGTTCCTAAAGTTTTATTTTGGTATTCACTATTGAGGAAACTGAAAGTTAAGACACTGTGGCCCTCATGTTTCTGAACCCACAGGGCCAAAATAAGGAAAATAAAGCCACACATAGAAAGAGCTGAATCTAAATAAAACCAGTGAAGGGAGATCTGGCAGTGAGGCAGCACATCAGATGGTGAATTCACAGTTAAGTATCAGTCATAATACATATGCTCCAGGTGGATTTTCCACATTGTTCTGCTGATGCCTTATCTTGCCCCACAGATACCCTCACAAACACGAGGGAGAAAACCCTACACATTACTGATTATCTGATCACATCCAAGAGTTTAAAACATCCCGTGACCCTGATTTTTGGATCATGTGGGAGAGACCCACAGCACACTTTTGCCCCCAGACTGTTAAGGAATACACTTCCTGGAGGCAAAAGAATGGTCCAAATGAGAGATCGACAATATCAGTCTCTGCTGAGAGTCTGGTCCTATGATTTAGGCTTGGTATCTCCTCTCTCAGAGGAAAAAGCAAGTCTGATGTTTCTATGTCTGCCCTTTGCTGGCTGGCATACTAAGTTGTTCTTATGATGCTCACGAATATGTGGTAAACAGGCATTTTATAGAAAAACATTTTGTATGTTGTAATAGCACCTTCAACCCAAGGTGGTGTTCAGCAACTTATGATATGGCATAGTTCTAAAGGACTGATTGGTTCTTCTCAGGAAATTACTAAATTTGGGAAACTTTAAAACATACTTTCATTTCCCTTTCCCTGTGACATCAGAGAAGTCCCTATTCTGACACTACTCATGGGCCCCAGTTCTCTTCCTATACTCCAGCTTCCTATGTCTGAGGGGATTTCTGAGAACACCTGAGTAAGTTCTTCTCAGTGACATCAAAGGGTTAAGAGCCACTTTGCTAGTAGGAGTTCAGTCTGTAAATAGAAGTCCCTGCAGACATTCTCAACAGAATTGCTTGTTACAATTCTTCTATATTATAGGGACTTATGTCTTTAGGTAGTCAGGCTTCCTTTAGAAAGCCTGGAGGAGCATAAATCGGTGCAGACCACTAACTCCAAGAGGTCAGGAACCTGTGGGAAGCCTCTGTGGGCATTGCAATTCCTCTAGAGCCCCAAGGGAAGGGCTGTCTTGGGAACACAAGGCTGTTGCCAAGGCTCCTGTGTGTAAAACCTTGTATCCACTGCACGAGAATGCTTCAGCCTACCTGCCACTTCCCAAATCTCATACTACTAACTCTCACTTGCAGCGTGTGGTCCACATCCATATCCCAGGGCAAAGAGACTCTGACTTCTATTCCCTGTGATACACACAAGACATAGAAGCTCAGCAGAAAGTTACTACATGAAAACATATTCATATACTGATATATCTATATCCCTATCTTCTATTTATCTCCACCATGGTTTACTCAGGCTCTTTCCACAGTATGAAATCTAGAACCAGAGAGAATATTAACTGGGGTATTAGGTGAGGGCTTGGACATGATAGCTTTCCATTTACCCAGGTCATATCTGGGACCTCATCACTTCACATGTGTGTAGATTGTGTTGTAAGAACTTGCAGCCCCTTCTTTTTGCTTCCCTTCCTTACCTTTTCCCCTTAGCATGCAGAACTTCCTATCAGAGCTGATGTTGGGGTGTGGGAATTGATCCAGGCATATCCTTCCCAAATCTACATGTAAGACACTTTACTGGTTCTGTTTCATTTCTCCTTCCCATCTTGAGAAGTGGCAGAAACTAGCATTGCTGAAATAAATTTCTATCAGTGTGAGGACCATCAACTGTTGATATCAACCAATGTGCTAGAGTGGTGGGGTGTGGGCCTTCCTAATCTGTTCTGTGTGAATAATGGGAGCATGGCGTTTTGGCCCATCTCTAACTTGGAAGAATGACAGCATGTGACTTTGATTTGTTTTCTCTTCACCTGTACATGAAACCTACCTGAAACTCTTAAAAGTCTGAGTTTTTAATAAACTCTAGGGTTGTGTAATCACACTTCTCTGCTCAGGTACTCTTTGTCATTAAGAACATGCAGATTAATGCCATGTGCACGCTCTCTCTCCTCTCTCTCTCTCTCTCTTTGTCGCTCTCTCTCTCTCTCCTCAGATGAGTTATTCTCCTCATGTATAGGAAGTATAGCTTACCATAGATTTTATTTGCTAAATTGTAATAAAGAGAGCATTCTAAAATTTCCTGTAAGTTGCACAAACATATCTGAATTCAGCAATTAGATAGTTTGGAACAATGTAATAATCAATTGTTCCAATTTGATTTAAGATAAATCCTTTTGTACTCCATGCTGGAAAATTTTGCAGGCAGAAGTGAGTGAGTACTCCTTACTCACATTCTAGTTGGGATGGATTCAGAGAGAGGGAGGAAGAGGAAAAGGCAGGAAATGTCTTAGTGGGAATAAAATGTTTGTGTTCTCTGGGACTGGATGATGTGCAAAGCACAGATTTTCTGTTGTGTGAGGTTTTGCAGGTCCTACAAATTTCCTCCTGGCCTACATCTAGTGTGTAGGAGACACCAAAAGATCCTTTGTGCCTACAACTCTGGGAGTGCAGAGCCTTTCCATGATCTGTCACCAACAGATCCAACTGTCCTGCCCTCTAGTGTCCTGTGTGTGGTCAGGAACAAATTCCATTGTCCTCAGCCACTCAGCTTCAGGACAGGTGAAGCAAACTCTTGGGCTCCCAGAAAATAATTTGCTACATTCCAGGCAAGTGAGTTACTCGTTTTCCCACTGCTTTGGGGGTAGAGGCTAGTTTTCATAATTAAGCACAGAACTATCCAAAGATATCATGAATATCCTCTCTCTACTCTCTGACCACCATTTGGTCAGTGGAAAGAGAATAATAGAAACATGTTTTCCTCACTTTAAAATTCTGCAAAACAGGAAAGGAATAGTTTCATAAGTTCATAGATATATCTGTATAAAAGTCGCCTTAGGTGAAATTGAGGTAAGAAAATAGACATTACATATAAATGTTATGTGAAGATGTATAAAGTATAGCCGTTGTCTTTCATTAGTCACATATACCATAATTTTAGTGCAGTGAAAGAAATGAACATAGAACTAGCTATGTGAGCTAGGTTTCTTAGCCCGATTTTCTTTTGGAGTAATAAAGAACAGTTGGCTTCTACCAAGGTTCCTCTTGGATTAAGCATTACATGAGGGCCTGTCTGTTTCTGTTAATGCTTGAGTTTCTTTCAATCTCTTGTAAATCTCCTGCTTTGTTCTAAGGATAAAATTGGTATTTGAGGGATCAGTTAAGTCATGGCCCTGTTGAAGTATTCACATTACAATGTTCATGCACTTGTAAGTTAACAACACACATCTATTCCTGGGGCATGTGCCAACGAAAACTGCTTAGCCTTGAAGATTGTTCTCTCAGAGGATGGTAATCAACTTTCTTTGTGGACCCTTCCTTTAATCAGGAGGAAATTTAGGGGTTGGGTTTTCAGAACTGGCCACATCCAGACAGTAGTGCACTCATTCTTGCCACCATTTCTCTGGGCGTGTGCAACCTTCTGTAGGAATGTGGGCCCACTGAGTGTGATCTCTGCTCCTGTCCGCAGACTGTTGGAATGTCTGTATAGCAGCCTTTCTGACAGTTACTCATTTCTAAGGGGGGTAAGTGAAGGTTAGAAACTAAAACTTGAAGAGTTTTAATTTAATGTATTTGGTCAATAGTCGTAACCAAGGACCTGGGTTCTAGACATGCAACACACTTACAGAATATTTAAGAAGACAGGAAATTTGAAGATGAAAAGTTAAGAAAGGTGAAAAATGAATCAGTGGGCCCACTGACTGACTGGATTAGGATAAGGTGCTAGAAAATGATTAAAGTAATGTACTTAGTTAAGGTCTCAAGTCTCAATGTCATAAATGAATGGAGGAAATTTTACACAAAAATGGAAGTTGTGAGGAGGAGACAGGTCTTGTTTGGACTGAATATGGCCTGGGTCCAGGATGGATTGTGAGGGGACAGGTTGGTGAATGAAAGAGGACAGGGGAGAACATGAGTGCACACATGGCATCTCAAGAACAGATCATTTCAACCCTCTAATTGAATAATACATGAGGAGAGGTTAAAACTGCAAACTATTTTAGAAAAACCAGGAGTGAAGAGGTAGAGTAATCTCGCATATTTTGGATTTCTGAGGTTACTTTTAAGCTTTACAACTTTTAAGGTAGAAAGACAGAAGAGAAATAGGTCCGAGGATTGTTGAGAGTTTTACCTAAAGCTGTTTTTGGTACACACTTTCCTTCTCACCAATTAAAAAAAAAACCCTCAAATAATGGTTATATTAAATCTTAACCATCATATCTTCTAGATAATAATTATGTTTACAATTTGTTCTGTGAACCCTGGGTATTAAAAAAGTCTTTAGGATTAGGTCCCACTTAGGGGGTAAGCACAGTGTTATTCTCAAGTGTTTGACCCTGTAGCCAGTAAGATAAGTCCACTGAAAACTGAACTCAGTTTTCACCCCAACATAAGCACAGTCAGGAATTGAGGATATTGTTTTGTCTTGTCACTGTGCCTATAGGGGAATATTCAAAGGTTCTCAGGAAAAAAACTTTCCTGTTTTCTTGTTTTTGTTTTCATAATGTATGGTAAAGTCATACTAGGATTCTCTCCTGTGGTCAATCGTATTTAATTCTTCTTAAATTTTGACTGAGTATCCAAGGGGTCTTTGAAAGATCAAACTCTTAATTCAGGATGCATTATCTAATATTTCTACATATACATAGAGAAATTCTCATGTATGTTTGATATAATAGGTTGTTTAATGGTTCAATAACCATTAAAGTCTTTTTATACTAAGTACCATCATGGTTTTTTTTTTAAGGTTTATTTATTTATTTGGAGAGAGAGAGTGAGAGAGAGAGGAAGAGGGGGAGAGACAGAATCCCAAGCAGGATCGGAGATATCAGTACAGAGTTTGAGTGGGGCATGAATTCATGAACACTGAGATCAGGACCTAAGCCAAGATCAAGAGTCGGATACCTAACCGACTAAGCCACATAGGAATCTCTGTTTATTTTTTGTTTGTTTGTTTTTTGTTTTGATAAGCACACAAAATAGAATGTGCTTGAAAAATAGGGTTTTGTTTTGTTTTGTTTTTTGAGAGTAGCTTAGTCGGTTAAGTGTCCAACTTCAGCTCCGGTTCATGATCTCAAGATCATTAGTTCAAACCCTTCATCAAACTCTGGGCGGACAGCTTAGAGCCTGGAGCCTGCTTCGGGGTCTGTGTCTCCATCTCTCTACTCCTTCCCACCTTATGCTCTGTCTCTCTCTCATTCTCTCTCAAAAATAAACAAACATTAAAAATTTTTTTTAAAATACTGTCACTTGAGGGTTTTTAAATTTTTAAATTAATTTTTTTATTTTTACAAATGTAATTTATTGGGGTGCCTAGGTGGCTCAGTCGGTTGAGCCTCCGGCTTTGGCTCAGTCATGATCTCATGGTTCATGGGCTCGAGCCCCACATAAGGCTCTGTGCTGACAGCTCAGAGCCTGGAGCCTGCTTCAAATTCTGTATCTCCCTCTCTCTCTGACCCTCTCCTGCTCACGCTGTCTCTCTCTTTCTCAAAAATAAATAAAACATTAAATTTTTGAAAAATAAATGTAGTTTATTCTCAAGATGACTAAATATACAGTGCATACAGTGTGCTCTCGGTTTTCGTGGTAGATTCCCGTGATTCATTGCTTACGTACATCAACCAATGCTCATCCAATAAGTGCTAAAAATATTGTTTAATGAAAAAACGTTTAATTAAACTCCAGCTTAATATTATATTAATTTTAGGTACACAGCATAATGATTTCACAATTATATACATTAGGATATGCTTCCAGAAGTGCAGTTATCATGTGTAACCACACAATGCTATTATAATATTTGTGATTATATCCCCTATTGTATATGTATCATCCCTGGGACTTAGTTTTTTACAGTCAGAAGTTGTTACCTCTTAATCCCCTTTACGAATTTCAATGATCCCCCATACTTCTCTGGCAGCAACTAGTTTGTTCTCCATAGTTATGAGTCTGTTTCTTCCTTTTTGTTGTTGGTGTTTGTTCATTAGTTTTAGAATCCATATAGAAGTTAAGTCATATAACTTGGAAAACAAAGGTGTATTTAAAAGAAGAAAAAGTAAATGTAAATCACTTTGATTCTTATGACTAAATCTGTAATACCCTTTCTACTTCTCCATGATAAATTTAATCTTAGGCTAACTTTCTAGGTCTTTTTTGGAAATCTGATAAAGGAAGAATGTTAGCCAGAT